GTGTGTGTGTGTGTGTGTGTGTGTGTGTGTGTGTGTGTGTGTGTGTGCGCGTGCGCGCGTGTGCTGGACATGGCTCTGTTTTCCTTTTCGTGAGTGTTCATCAGCAAACAAGTCCTATCTGCTCGTGGGGAAGTGATATTGGGAATGTCGGGGGCGCAAGGGGAATGCCTGTTTCGTTGTTCTTCCTCTCCCTGTTAGTTATTTCCCAGTGCTGAGATATGGCCTCCGGCATGTCGCTTAGTCCGTGGGGGCTCATGGCCGCATGTCGGTGGATGTGGAGGGCCAAAAAGTGTCTGGCTGCGTGGCCCCCCCCAGGCTACAGCGCCTCACTCTTTACTCCTTTAGAAGCAGCATCCTGTTAGAATTCATTGTAGGGCTAGAACGACCTCCATCTGTTAAGGGATTACTTCTTTCACTTCCCAGGGTTGCAGCGTAATGTGTGAGAGAGGAGGTGTTTACAGTGAGCACTAGCTCAGAATGTTGTCTGCTCACATACGAGTCGGAGAAAACAAACTGAAGAAACGGAACCAAACCCTCGTGCAAGTTCATGTTCCCAAAGCCCCGTGCTCTCGCAGCTGAAATGCTGAAACGTGGGTCTTATCAGAGATTCCGGAGCATCGAGATCTGAGTAAAATCTGGCCTTCGAAACGTCACAGTCACATCTGAATCAATACATCAACCCTGCGGCGCTGCAGTGATCTCAGTTGACAGAAGAGTCCAGTGAAGTGGCAGCACTGAGGAAGTGTATTTTCTGCTGTATTCTCCCATCGCCTCAAGCACTTATAGGTCATAGTTAGAGAGGGGGGGGTATCTGCTCTCACAAAGGATTATCTAAAGACCATGACCCAGTCCCCAGGGGGCACACACTGAGAGAAGGCATGCCGGATGCTCATACTCACCAGCACACACTCGTGTATACACACACACACACATGTGCAAAGCATTCAACACATGTCTGCACATACTGTACAGAACACGCACATCAGAACGCATCTGCTGCTTCTGGCAGCGCTGTCGTACCATGACAGAGGCTCATGTCTTCTGTAATTGGTCACACTTAATATTTGCCGCTAAGGATATCACTTTTTAATAATCCTATGGCTGTGTCACATTTTAGAGTTTCCTTTGAGAGCAATGAGACTCTCATTTAAGAGCCTTGACCCCCCCCCCTTCAGTTTTGCTATTCATAGCCATAATGTCTTTATGATAAAGTAGCCAATCAGAATCCCCCTTTTTTACAGAGCTAGCTCCAGTAGCAAATGAAAGCAGGGGGGAGACACCACAGGTGAATCGGGAACAATTGTAACTAATGGATATCACCATGACACTTTGCCAGTTGATTACTTGCATGAAGATCATTCTTTTTTTGTGTTACAAGTGTCCTGAAATGTTATGATTAAATATGTAAATGAGGCATTATTAGTCCATTACTAGTCCGAAAAAAGACACATTATGGAAGCAAAATATCCCCAAATCTCAGCCTGAGCTGTCTCCTCTTAAGTGAGGCGGTGCGTTTTATCATCGTTTGTTGAAGTTATTTTTGAGGAGATGCGCCAAGGTGCTGCTATAAAGAACAATTGACAGTGGTTGTTTTGATGTGGGCCTCCCTCACAAGGCATCATACAACAACACAAGCTTTATTAGTTAGTTTTCCTTATCTTTAGAATAATATATCCTCCGCTCTTTGTTGTCCTTTGACGTGGCCTTCTGGCATCAACAACTGTTGCAACCTACAAAAGCAACAGCTGTTTATGTGACTAACTGCGTGCATGCTGCATCCGTGCATATGTTATATAATGTATGTATGTATGTACCTGGCCTTGGTAACGTCCCACGTGTGTTCTTGGAATTTTATTTTTTGTTGTTATAAACCCCAGATGTCAATTTCATGTGCAGAAAGGAGCGGTGCAAATCCTCTGAAAAGAAGACGTTTTCCCCCCTCCCACTTCTTAAAAAGCAATATTTCAGTGTTTGGGTGAGAGGTTAAGAGTGGGATTAGCTTTAGGTTACTCTGAAGGTTGAGGGGAAGCATTTAGAGATGAGCTAAGATGTGAATGTAGATAACAAAGATCACGACAAGTATGTTGATGCTAACTGGTGTGTGGGGTTTGTCAGAGCAAAACCCTGCTCAGTTCATGGAGCTGGTTTCCACAAAATTCGGTATCCTCCTCCGTGGACGATCAGCAGACATAAGCACATAATGACAGGAAGGGATGAGTCCAGCCCTAAGTCCCTGATAGCAAAGAGAGTTTTCCCTCTCCACATATCGGCATATTGCCCTCTCTACCCTGTTTGATATTTCAGTTTAACAAGGTACGGAGGTGGCGTCTGTGGGATTGGGGGGGGGGGGGGGGGGGGG